AAATCGAGGCCTTAAGTAACTCAAGATTAGAAAATAATGTAGAGCAACTTGTAGTTGCCACAATTGCCAGGTTAACGGGCCCGAACAACACCGCGAACCCCCCCGAAATCATATGTTACGAATGCAAAGGTAAAAATCATTTTGCCAAAGATTGTAAGGCACCCGGTAAACAGGAAAGAAAACCTAGTAATTCCATGAAATCGTTAGGTGGGGGGAGATCGAGAAGTAATTCCAGAGATAGATCCTTAGAACGCACGAAAATAGGGCAGCCTATATGTCAGCTCTGCTCCTCTCCCGGTCATAGCGCACTTTCGTGTGCAAAACTTCAAATTTTCAAAAATGGCGACCATCCAAAAAACTAGACTTGCCGTACGGAGTTGTGATGGACTCTCCAACTGCGTACACACAGGCGAAAAAAGAGTCATCCTTTAAAGCAAAAGCGTACTTATTGCAGGATGTTCTTATTTTACCCGGGGAACAAGTAACAGCCATGGCACAAGTACCAAACTTTGAGAGAAGGGGCCAAAATCTCTATAACTTTGAGCCCTTCATCATATCAGATGTGATGATTAAGCCCGCGGCGGACTTGCGATTTATAAGCCGCACCAACTTCTACATCACCCTGATAAATAAGCTTACAGCTCCGGTGAAGTTGGTAGCGCACGTCCCTGTGGGTCATGTACTCAAGGTAAACCAACAACCGCCCAAAGAATCAAAATATGAGAATGAGACGAGCGATCAGAATACGAAAAACATTATAGAAACAACGCAAGCAAATGTACTAAAAAAGGTACAAGCAAATGATGAGTTGCAAAAAAGACCAGTAATTGTAGTAGGTGACACACGTGTGAAATTGATAAAACATCTTTTGGAAAAAGAACTTGGCAACATCGCGGAACTGCAAATTGCATATAGCAGTGATGCCAACTTGGGAAAAGCGTTGGATTTACTTGAGTGCATGGCCGACAAAAAAAATAAGGATACGATCGCAATAGTCATCGCAGGGTCTAATGATTTCCATGAACATTATGAGTCCCAAACATACGCGACTATTGTTAACAACCTCCCGTTAGGAAGGTTACGAGATTTTAGTGAAAAATTTCATGTTTTGTATACACCTATTTTTCCCAGGTATGACGTCAGGCGCATAAATGCCAAAATTGATCTGGTAAACGCATCAATCTTAGGACAAATAGTAAATTGTCCGAGATTAAGTCGCATTAATATTAACAAAGAATTACTACCATGTAATACTTTTGAGCAGAATGGAACAAATCTCAATGAAAAAGGTAAGCAATTAGTGACAAAAGCGATCGTGGATGCAGTGCGAGCCATTACACAAGGCGGCGGGGAAATAGGAGTAGTAAATGCAATAGAAAATGGTCATTCAAGTAAACTAAATTGTAGACGTCCACTGCATGTAAAGGGCACAGTCAATTTTAAGGAAATTTCCTTTGTGTGCGATACAGGCGCGGGGGTGAGCCTTTGTAGACCGGAACTAGTTAATAAAGATGACATCAAGCCAGTACGAAATTTCCAATTATTAACAGCCGCTAGTGAAGAATTGCGTCCTTTAGGCGAAGCAAAACTAGAATTTGAATTAGATGGCGAACCATTTGTTCAGGATGTTTTTGTCTCAGATCAGCTTCCAGAGCCCATAATTCTGGGAGTTAATTTCCTTGAGTTTTATAACTGCTTAATAGACTTTGATCTACAAAGGCTTACTCTCCGCCGGAACGTATCTCGCGAAATTCACCTACATTTTAATCAAAATAATTCTTCTTCACAACAAAAATCACTAATATTAAATTCCGACGATTATGAATCGACTGTAATAAGTTTCTGCAATATAGCCAATGCAACTTGTGTCCCTCCGCCTCCCCTTGCGAAAGTAAGGCACCCTGTAACAATCAAAGGTAACCAAATCGCCAAAGTACCCATTTACTTTACGAAAAATTTAACGTCACCTCTAATAGCCCTAAAACAAATAAATAAAGGCAAAGTCAAAAAAATTGACATTTTGACTTCAACCTTTGATCCCAATAAAACAGATGAAATTCAAATCAGAAACGACTCGCCACACTCTATCATTCTATTTCAGGATTCTACACTAGGTAAGGTTCAAGAAAATTACATTCCGCCTACCAGACATGAAAACATTCCAGCAGCACATATTAAAAATTTAAATTCACTGAATATTAATCCAAATTTAACACCTGATGAGAGAAGAAAGGTGATAGAAGGAATAGCCGATTATCATGATGTATTTTTATGGGATGAATCAAAATTTAAAGGAGGGATGGCAAATTACCCCCCGGTCTCCATCCCTCTTACGTCAGATAAAATAGTGTATAAACCTCCGTACCGACTTTCCACAAAAGAAGCGATCTGGCTAGAAAAAGAGGTCCAAAACTTAAAATCACAAAATATATTAGAGGATTCTGATTCAAGCTACGGCTTCCCAGCAATTTTAATACCAAAAAATGACACTTTTCGGCTAGTACAGGACTATCGCTTATTAAACGCGATGGTCAGAAAAAAAAACCACCCTTTACCAATTCTGGAACAGTGTCTTATGTCTTGTAGCGGTATGAAATATGTAAGTATATTAGATTGTAAGCATGGGTTTTGGAATATTCGATTACATCCAGATAGCAGGGACGTGACGTCATTCAGTTGTGTGCAACATCTTCGTTATGCAGTGTTGCCACAAGGATACATTAATTCCCCTGCAGAATTTCAAACCATGATTGATAAAATGATAAGTGGGCTTAAATATACTCATGGCATTGGATACCTTGATGACATTTTATCATGGGCTACATCGGTGAATTCAATGATAAATACGTTGCGTAGATTTCTAGAAAGAATAAGAAAAATGAATTTAAAATTGAATGTACGGAAGGCTCAAATTTGTTGTCAGGAGTTGGACATTTTCGGGTATAGATTAACTAAAAATGGATTAGAGGTTGATCCAACAAAGTGTCAAGGAATTCTAGAATATCCCACGCCAACATCGATTAAAGGCGTAAGACGCTTTGTTGGGTTAATCACCTATTATAGACGATTCATAAAAAACGCGAGCATCCTATGTAAACCTCTGTATGATATCATTAAAAATCCCCAAAATCAATTCACTTGGACAAAAGAAGCAGATGAAGCATTCAAGTTACTGAAAAATAGGCTGACGTCACCGCCGGTATTAGCACACTTTGATCCGGATTTAGAAATCCAAATCGAAGTTGACAGTTGTAAAATCGGGGTTGGAGCAGTCCTTGCTTTAATTTTTCCTGATGGACCAAAACCAGTGTGCTATTTTTCACAACTTTTCACGCCAGTAGAAATGCGCTATGGGTCGTCTGAAATTGAATTAAATGGATTGGTCAAAACCTTAGAAAAATGGAGGACTTATATTTGGGGAAGGAAAGTTAAAATAATAACGGATCATGCGCCCTTACGGCAGCATACCACAATACAGAATTTTAGTAACAGGTTAGCACGGTTGAGCCTTCGGCTATCAAACTATCAATTGGAAGTGGTACATAAATCAGGTAAACTTCATACAAACTGTGATGCACTATCGCGTGAAATTAAGGGCGCTGATGAGCTGAAATGCTTGGCAGCAACGGAACTTTCCTTTAAAAATGAATCCCCGTGCATTATATGTGAGGCTATTACAAAGTACTCACTTAGACACGACGAACCGGGGGAAATAAACTTAGTTTTATCACTAAGTCCTGTCGATTTGACAACAATGCAAAAAGAGGACCCAGAGTTTGACCCGATTTTTCAGGCACTTAAAGATCCTGACAAAGTTTCCAACAAAATTAAACGCCTTAGCAGACAATTTTTCATTTCCGATCAGGGTACTCTTTATAAAAAGGTATACGGTGCTCAGGGACGAGATAGGATTATGTGTGTGCCAAGGAAAATGCGACCAGAAATTCTAAAAAAATATCACGATGATTTTCAAACCGCCCATCCTGGTCAATATAAAACACTTGAAATTTTAAAGCCACGTTTTTATTGGAAAACGATGCATAAAGATATTAAAAATTACGTCCTATCATGCGTTACATGTCAAATGACGAAACCTAATAATAAGTTACCAGCTGGACTTCGATCATCAAAAACTGTGGAACCGTATCCATGGCGACATGTCTCTATTGATGCGGCAGGTCCATTTCGCCTTTCGAACGGAAAACGCTACATCCTTGCAGCAGTATGTCACTTTACGAAGTACATTTTCGCGGAAACAACGGCTAGAAATACAGCGGACGCGGTTGCCAAATTTTTGTTCAAATTATATTGTTTGTTTGGGCCCGTTGCTCATTTACACTCAGATTTAGGTACTTCTTTCATGGCTGAGGCCGTCCAAAATTTTCTTTTACAAATTGGGTGCACGTCCAAACAAAACACCAGTTATAACCCTTCTACGACAGG